TTTTTATTTAAAAAATAAATATTTTTTTTTTACTTTATTCTTATAATCATCTAACTTTAATTATTCATTTTCATTTTCACTTACTACAAAAATTTTATTTTTCTTTTTATTTTTTTCTTAAAAGTACATAGACATAAAAATATAATTTGTCCTTAAATTGAAAAATTTTCACTATAAAATAAAATAATTTCACACCCCAAAAAAAAAAATATATATATATTTTTTAATAAAAAAGTGCAAAGCCTCTTCGCCCGTGCCCAATACAGCCCGATTCACACATATCCAATACAGCCCAAAGAAGCCTTAGCCAACGCTCTTGCAAGGTGCGCTCTACACCTCAACGGCTTCATCAGCGCTCTCAAGCCGACGCCACCTCCTTTAACGGTCAAATCCGGCTGCCCACCACCCTCCATCACAAACAACGGCGCCGGATTTCTCTTACTCTGTCTCTTCTTTATATCACTCAGCTCCATCTTCGCTGGAATCCTCGCCAATCCAATCAACACGTTGTGCTTCCTGGAACTACCGTACCGGCAACTCCCGAACCTGGCTGCCGACTCCAAAGAAGCAGGTTTTGAATTCACCACGCCAGCTTTTCCCGAATTGTCCCTAAATTTCTTGTGTTCGCTGTTCATAAGCCGAGCGGAGCTCAGGGGGAAAAGATACCGGCTTTGATCCACGGAAAAGTCATCGATTTCATCCCGTTTTTGTTCTTCCACGATTTTCCCACAAAAGACGATGCTGCTGTTAAAAGAAGCGGATCGTGGATTGAAGGAGAAATCAAAGAGGTCTTGTGGATGAGAAGGGGAGTTTGGGGAAACAGGGGAATCGGATCCTTGGTAGTGAAGTGGGAGATCGCAGAGAGAAAGGGTATCTTCTACCTCTTCTGGGTCTTGTGTAGTAGCGTTGGTTGGAATTGGATTCATTTTGTTGTGTTTGGTTGCAAAGAAAATGGATTGAAGAAGAGATATAAGTGATGGGTTGTGGACAGTTTAGAGCAAAAGTATATATAACAAGGAGAACAGAAGAAAAAATGAAGTTTGGTGGAAAACATGGAGTGGAAAATGGGGACAGGAGAATTGGCATTAAAATCAAAGGAGGGGCCCTGAAACCGAGTTTTTTCTAGAAGGACGTTTTTTTCCTTATAAGAAAAAACTTGTTTTTCTAGAAAGAGTTTTTGACTGGGTGAATAATGCCTATTCGGAAGTCCACGTCTTTACCTAATCAACAGTTTCAACCACCGTAGAAAGGATATTAATTGAGACGCAAGAAAACAGAGAGAGCGACAACGAAAAAATATTTCTGCTGTTATATTCTAGAATAATGATAATTGGTATGATAAAATAAGACCAAAATAGCGGACGAAATATGAGAGGACAACTATCTCAACAAAATATTACTTTAAAAAGGTTTCACATGATAAATAGTCAATAAATTATATCCAACACTTGAAGACCAACAGGCCTTCCTGCAATGTAGGACATGCTTAGGACTAATTGAACATGAGTTCAATCCCAACTCTCCCCTTCCCAACCAACAAAAAAAACATCCATCAAAAAAAAAAAAAAAAAAATCAATAAATTATATAATTGATCCCGTAAAATTATTCTTTATATTCGTCCTTCGTATCATCACCGATTGGATTATAAAATAGTTATGTTTAAATTAAAGGAGGCCCTTTAATATTATACCCTCTTCTTCTATGCAAGTGTCTTGATTTTATAATTTAATATAATTAGGGACAAAATCAGATTTTTAAGTTAACAAAGTAAAATTTTAAAATTTTTTGTAAGTTAAGATCAGTTCGAATTATTTTTTCATGATATTTTATTTATTAAAATGTCATGATTTTAAAGTATTTTTTTTATTAGTAAGTCTAGCAAATAAACATTAATTTCATATAAAATATAGTTTTTTTTAATAAGATTACATATATCAAATGAATTTTAAATTTAGAACTTAGAATATATATGAATAAAATATCAAATCTAAGTGTTAGTTTTATGGAATATAAATTATACAAAAAATAACAACTAAAATAAAACCTTATATAAATTAGGTTAATGTAACTTGATCTTTGCTCTTTTTGAATATTCTTCAATATTCAAATAAAATTATTTGTCTTAAAAAGTAATTACAAAGAGAAAAATTGTCTCTCTACCCAACTCCTACGTATTTTCTTTAGATTTAATATAGTCCTCAAAATTCAAACATTAAAAACAATTTTTATACTAAATAAAAATGAATGTACTTTATTAAACATTTTCCAAAAGTTTAGGGGTAGCTGCCCCCCTTTACTTAGTTACTTACTTTATTCAACATTTTCTTGTTCAAA